ATTTTCATTTTTTTTTTGAAAAATTCCCAGATTTTCCCCGGACAGCCTGGGATTGGTGGCGAGTTCAGCTCTGGCCTGGCTGCTGCTGGAGGTGCTGAGCGTCCTCCTGAGCCTTTATTTGGTCACTGTCACCACGGACCTGACCCCCATCGACCTCCTGGCGTTTGCTGGATACAAATATGTGGGGTAAGAGGGAGTTTTCCAGGTTTTTTTGGGAATTTTCCCCGTTGTTTGGGGAATTTTTTGCATTTTTTTGGGATTTTTCCCGTTTTTTTTAGGGATTTTTTGCCATTTTTTGGTGATTTTCCCCCCTTTGTTTAGCAATTTTCCCCCATTTTTTTAATTTTCCCTGTTTTTTGGGGGATTTTTCCCTGGTTTTTGGGATTTTTCCCCATTTTTGGGGGGTTTTTTCCCCATTTTTTTGGTGATTTTCCCCCAATTTTTTGCCATTTTTCGCCCTTTTTTGGAGGATCTGAACCCCATCGACCTCCTGGCTGTTGCTGGGTACAAATACATGCAGTGAGATGGATTTTTCCCAATTTTTGGGAATTTTTCCATGTTTTTTGGGGAATTTTCCCCATTTTTTGGGAATTTTCCCCGTTTTTTTAGGGATTTTTTTCCATTTTTTGGCGATTTTTCGCCATTTTTTGGGGCACCTGACCCCCATCAACCTCCTGGCCTTTGCCAGCTACAAAGACATGGGGTAAGATGGATTTTTGGGATTTTTCCCATTTTTTTTGGGAATTTTCCCCATTTTTTGGGGAATTTTCCCCGTTTTTTTAGGAATTTTTTTCCATTTTTTGGCGATTTTTCGCCGTTTTTTTGGCGATTTTTTGCTGTTTCCTGGAGGATCTGACCCCCATTGACCTCCTGGCCTTTGCTGGATACAAATACGTGGGGTAAGATGGATTTTTCCAGGTTTTTTTGGGAATTTTCCCCATTTTTTTGGGATTTTTCCCCCTTTTTTTAGGGATTTTTTTCCATTTTTTGGCGATTTTCCCCTGGTTTTTTGGGGATTTTTCCCCGGTTTTTGGAGGATCTGACCCCCATCGATCTCCTGGCCTTTGCTGGATACAAATATGTGGGGTAAGATGGATTTTCTTCCATTTTTTTGGGATTTCTCCCCATTTTGGGGGATTTTTTCCCCATTTTTGGGGGGATTTACCCCATTTTTTGGGATTTTCTCCCGTTTTTTGGGGATTTTTCCCCATTTTTGGGGGGATTTTTTTCCTCATTTTTTTACGGATTTTTTCCCATTTTTTGGGGTGAAATTCCCGATTTTTCTCCCCGTTTCCACAGGATGATCGTGGGATTGGTGGCGGGGCTGCTCCTGGGCCGGGTCGGGTACTACGTGGCCTTGAGTTGGTGTTGTTTGAGCATTTTTGTGTTCATGGTGAGTTTTTTGGGATTTTTTTTGAATTTTGGGGTGGTTTGGGTTTTTTGGGATGCTCAAAATCCCGAGAAATTTCAAGCAAATTCCAGAAAATTCAAAAAAAATTGAATGAAATGAAATCGCCCTTGAAATGATTCTGACCTCAGATTTTGGGAGGATTTTGGGGGGTTTGATCCCAATTTTGAGGATTTTTTTGGGGGGATTTTGGGGTGGTTTGGGTTTCTTGGGATGCTCAAAATCCCGAGGAATTTGGATCAAATTCCAGAAAATTCCAAAAAAATTCCATCGTGCCCTTTAAACGATGTTCGCGGAGGGTTTGGGGAGATTTTGGGGTATTTTTATGGGGATTTTTGTAGAATTTTGGGTTTTCAAGCCCTGAAAGGCCAATTTTGAGGTCAGAATTCCCGAATTTTTCCCAAATTTTCCCGAATTTCCCCAGATCCGCACGCTGAGGCTGAAGCTGCTGTCGGAGGCGGCGGCCGAGGGGCTTTGGGGAAGTTTTGGGGTATTTTTAGGGTATTTTTATGGGGATTTTTGGGATTTTTAAGCCCTGAAAAGCTGGAAAAGGCCAATTTTGAGGTCAGAATTCCCGAATTTTTCCCAAATTTCCCCGAATTTCCCCAGATTTGGACACTGAGGCTGAAACTGCTGTCAGAGGCGGCGGCCAAGGGGATTTTGGGGAGGATTTTGGGGCATTTTGGGGGTATTTTTATGGGGATTTTTTTGTTTTTTTTACATCCTGAAGCCCTTAAAGGCCAATTTTGAGGTCAGAATTCCCAAATTTTTCCCAAATTTCCCCGAATTTCCCCAGATCCGGACGCTGAGGCTGAAGCTGCTGTCGGAGGCGGCGGCCGAGGGGCTTTGGGGAGGATTTTGGGGCATTTTGGGGTATTTTTATGGGGATTTTTGGGGTTTTCAAGCCCTGAGGGGCCGATCCCGAGTTCAGAATTCCCAAATTTTTCCCAAATTTCCCCGAATTTCCCCAGATCCGCACGCTGAGGCTGAAGCTGCTGTCGGAGGCGGCGGCCGAGGGGGTTTTGGTGCGCGGTGCCAAAAATCAGCTGAGGATGTACCTG